AGTGAAAAATTTCTTCAAATGAAAGGGGGATATAGGGATGGCTTGAAGCACCAAAAAGGAAGAAACAAGGGGTCATTGCACAGCAAAGTTGCACAAAGCTACATGACACCATCCCTATATCTTTGTTCATATTAAACTTTGCTTATAAACAATAAAACAAAGATATAGGGATGGTGTCATGTAGCTTTGTGCAACTTTGCTGTGCAATGACCCCTTGTTTCTTCCTTTTTGGTGCTTCAAGCCATCCCTATATCCCCGAAGAAATGATTTTTCCACTTGTTTCCACTATTTTTAACAGCTTATGACAACAGTGCATTTATTGTTACAGTCACTCTGCTGTTCATGGGTATGTTGTAGACACAAACTGTGTTGAAAGTAGTAGCTAATGCCCGGGGCTGCTAGTGCCTGAAGCAGGGGCTAAATACCGCTTTCACCTCCTTCAACAAGGATGTAATTAGATTATTACACATGGTTGCGGTTTCATGGGCGGGGGAACAATGAAGGCCCATTTGTGCGCCCCGCATGGCTCCACCGCGCAGACTCTGGCAAGTTGCTCTTCGTGCAAATAAATATATACTCACACTCCTTTTTAAGATCGTCCAAGCACAAGCATGTGAGTAAAGATAGCTAGTTTTCTTAAATTGGCGAAAAGCTTTTAATGATGAGTGTATGAGTAAAAAAGACAGAAAGATCTTACTTGGATAATGAATCCCCACAGAGACTGCCTTAGAAATGTCTATAGTTTGTTCCTTTCCAACACTGCAGGTGAAAACTCCCTCAATGGGAACCGAACCAATTTCTCTTAGTAGAGTAAGCTTGTTATTAATCCCTATTTCACTCTTCCATCCAAAATAGCTGGGTTTGTTTTCGGTAATCTTTGGAAGTACAGTCAATCCTTCACTTCCTATAAACTGGTGAAACCAACTGAAGTATCTTTGAACTTGATCTCCAGTTGACCAACAGATGAGTGTATCTCCACTGCTCTGGCTAACATCAGTGATCAGAATATGTTTAGTATGAATCACATCATCAACATCATCAGACAAAGTCAGAAACAAGTCTGTATAATCACCAGAAAAACACATTACTCTTAAGTTACATAGGTGCACCAATGAAAACTGCATGTGCAGGTGAGGATGCATACGTAATTATTGGAGCACCCAATAAAAGTGACTGAGATCAATAGGAGAGCTGAAAAATATTTCAGCAGGCGCTCTACAAGTAAAATAATAACTTGCTAGTATATTATATCAAATTAGGTACTACTGTACAAGTGTGTGTTTTACAGTCACTGTAAGTCGAAAATCGTTTTAAAAATTAAGAATTGGAGATGCCTATTCCGAAATGGTCTATTCCCTTATTTTAGTAAAATCTCATGACACAAACTAGCTATATACACCCAAATCATCACACATTAAAACGTGTTTAGGATGTTAGACACAAAGATGTTGGGATGGGGTGTGAACAACTTCTCGGTGTAGGCATTTCATGTTTCCAGAATTCACCACTTAAAATATTCAATGAAGGATATAAAGTGGGACACTAAAATGGAGACACATCTCTAATAGGGACACAATTTATTGTATCATTGGTTTCTAGATCACAGGGGTTCATCTGCATGGACTGCCTTTTTAGACAGTTTATCAATAACGATTTACTTTTCCATGTGTTGTCCAAGCCATGTTGACCAACCTAATCCATACATATCACCTAGTATGCTATAGCTAGAGTGTTTGTTGTTACCCTCGGCGCGCATGCGTAGCGAGGGTATATCCTTGTTGGTTCAATTCCGAGATTAGACACACAATTAAGCGCCTGCATTCTGCAAAGAAAAAACATTCTTCTCCAACTAAGGTTCATTCTCTTGAAACCTACCTTTCTCAACTCATGGTCAACGCCAAACTGAACTTCGAACACAATCTAGCTTTCCAAACCTCTGATAAGATCTTTAAACATTTGAGAGGCCTATCATCCTCCCGCTCAATACCTTCAATCGTCACACTGGATTCATATACTGGTTCTAGTGACTATGAAAAGCATCTATTTTTAACAATTTCTTCCACTCAGTTTTCACCCAGAGCACCTTTCAGCTACCTCCCATAGAAGATTTGCACACCCCTACATCTACTCTATCTGATATAGGTATTTCAGAACTGGATGTGTTTGAGGCTTTATCTACTCTTGATACATCCAAAGCCATGGGAACTGATGGTATCGGTCCTAAGATTCTTAAACGATGTGCACTTGCACTGTACAAACCCCTTCACCACCTATTTCTCCTAAGTCTGTCTCAACACTCCCTTCCCTCAGATTGGCGTATGCACCTGATTATTCCAGTTCTCAAATCTGGAGACAAGTCATCCGTGCGAAACTATCGTCCAATATCTCTTCTCTGCTCTGTATCCAAAATCCTGGAAAGGCTGATCTATGACAAGATAATCCCATTCGTATCTACATCTATCTCTTCCTGTCAATTTGGTTTTCGTCCAAAGCATTCCTCGACGCAACAACTACTGATCTTCTTAAACACCGTTCACACTATTCTAGACACCCACTCACAAGCTGATGTTGTCTACCTCGATTTTAGGAAAGCATTTGACAGTGTGCCTCACAATGAACTTCTCATGAAGCTCTGGTCTTTTGGTCTAACAGGAAACCTGTGGAAGTGGTTCCGGTCCTACCTGTCTGGTAGATCCCAATGTGTTCTACTAAATCAGTGCACATCTGACTTACTTCCTGTTATCTCAGGTGTTCCACAAGGTAGTATCCTGGGTCCGCTCCTGTTCCTGATATTCGTCAATGACCTTCCTCTGTCCATCAGGCATTCCCACATATTCCTTTACGCAGATGATACCAAATGTCTCAAGAATGTCTCCTCTCAATCTGACTCTCACTCTTTGCAAGATGACCTTTCTAATCTATTTTCCTGGAGCCTTCAGTGGAATTTACACTTCAACGAAAACAAATGTGTTTTACTCCGTCTTTGTCCTAAACACCCCCGTGTCCTCCATGACTACACAATCAATAGCTCACCAATTCAAGTCCTTGATTGCTATCGTGATCTAGGAATCCTGATATCTAGTGACCTGAAGTGGGACAATCACCTGACAATGATCACTGCTCGGGCCTACAAAGTTTTAGGCCTAATTCGGAGGTCCTTCTCCAATGGCCTATGTATTTCAGCCAAGAAAAGATTATATTCATCTCTCGTGCGCTCTCAACTAAACTATGCTTCCCAAATCTGGAGACCTTACCTCATCAAAGAGATTGTTGCTCTGGAAAGAGTACAACGACGTGCGTCCAAGTTTATCCTCAATGACTATCAATCAACTTACAAGCACCGCTTAATATCTCTGACAATCCTCCCTCTTATGATGCAACTTGAGCTGAATGACATTCTATTTTTCATTCGCTGTCTCAAGGAGCCTGACACATCACAAGCTTTTCAAATTCAATCCTTCATGAACTTTTCCAAAGGTAATACCCGCTCCACTACTTATCTTAAGTTGAATCACTCCTCTTCTAAAACATCTTCTGCAGCCCACTTTTATTTTAACAGACTCCCTCGGCTATGGAACTCTCTCCCTCCGATAAACTTGGAACTATCTCTCCAATCTATCAAGCGTCATCTCTTACAATTCTTTTGGAATCACTTCAAAACCAACTTTCAGAGTACAAATCCATGCACTTTTCACTTTCTTTGCCCATGCGCTAAGTGTTCCAGTACATCAATAACAACCTGTTTCTCTTCAGTTACTACGTCTTAGGACACCAGTACTCCCAAACTGGTGTTCCTTCAGTACACTTCTTTATAATTACCATTCATTTCTTATTTATAGCATCCTATTTTATAGATCGCATTGTGTATTGTAAAGCTTGAAAAAAAAATAAATAAATAAAAATATAACAGTAGTTGGGTCTGTCTGTTTGTCTGTTACTCTATACAGGGGTGCTAATCTGGCGCTATGGCGCTGCTTGCAGCTCCATGAAAAGGTTTGGTGCGCCAACGACTTTGAATGCCGCGCCGGCCGACGATGCGGGAGCGGCCGCGGGGTGTGGTCACGGGGCGCGAGCGCGAGACACGCGTGTTTTACGAGCGGTTGCTGCACGCACACGGGACACGGCCCCAGAATGACTGCAAATCAAGGGACGCTTTCCTCGCTTTGGGGTTCCCTGTCACAACCGTCAACTTCTACAGGTGCTGATAGTTTGATCGGTTTTTGTATAGTCACTGCACTCAGCGCACTCTTTTCATCATGACTATTTTTGTACGTTTGATTGCTTCCCCGGCTATGGTGTTGGGGTAGCAAGTGCATCTCCAGAAAAATGCTATACTGACACCCCTGTCTATATCTCACTCCTCGAACGACTGTTCGTCCCAGAAACGATATCATATACCCAACGGGCGACGAAGGTCAGAAAATAAAGGCGGTCTTCTCTGAAAATGCTCCGTTGTAAAACTAGAGCACGAAAAAGCCAATATGAAAATACGCAACGGACGGGATGGCTTACGGCGGTCTGATCGATCGGCGTGCTCTGCGACCTCGGAGGCTCCAGAAGATGCAACGCAGGGCGTGTATCGCCTCTGGCATGCTATCTAGTAGTGTAGTTAGCCCGCGTCAGACTCAGTGCGCGAGATGGCTAGAGACCAGCCAGAACCAAACCCAGCCTATCAATTAGTGATACAGCGCATGCGTTTACCCACGCGTGCGCGTCGTAATGCGCCGAGGGTTTGCACTTCAGTGCTTTTCATTGACACAGGTTGTTGTAAGATTGTGAAGAATAACTTCTGTCTAAGCCACGTTCAGAAGCGCAAGCGCTTTGCTACAATCCCAGACAAAGGTTTTTGCAAAGACAATCGATGTGCTGGGTTGTCGACAGAGAGAATGCACACCAGCATTTGCTTGGGGTTGCTCAGTCCTTAATGTAGTGGAATCCCAGTAGCTACACTGGACCTGCACTCCATTCCTGATTTTCGCATTTTCTCTCCTGTACTTTGACCTGAGACATGCCATTGGCTGTGAACTGAACAATCTTTAGGTTGAAAGAATCTTCTTCCAACAACCCGATCTAACAAAGACTATCTACTGACGAATTATCTTCAACTAGTTCAATGATTCTCTTAGCAGACTGGATCTTACCTGGTGTTATTCGCAACTGATCTACACTGTGCAATTCCTGTGTCTGTTAGCTTTGAAGATATGCAAATTGTCCCCTTCAGGCTACCACTAGCCATTAGCTAATTAGCTATTTTGCTCACCTTCACTTGCTATTGCCACCCGCAATAATGTACTGAGTACACAGAGAATCCCCACAATATCCATCGGCAAACAACACGATTTAGTATCTCACTTCTAGAATAACTCACAAGACCAATTCTAGGCACTGCCGACCTACATAATGATAAGGGTGTGGTCAATAGGAATCGCTGAGGTAGCTCAACTACTGCCCAAGTCGCTAAGTAAACATTATTTTACAGGCAAATGCAACTGGAGCGAGGCAAAGCAACACTGCGGGCTGGCGACTGCCCTCCAGTGCGGGATCACGTGAAGCTGCCTGTCCGGTTAGTGGCATAGCTAGTAGTGGGTTTGAGAAGGAGAAAGCGTGTCCATGGGAGAAAATTCACATGCAAATTAGATGTTCGTGCGTTAACGGTTCCGCCCATTGCTCTGGGTGCGTGGTCTATGGCCCTAGTGCTATGGCAGCCACCTGAGTATTATTATTATTATCAAACCCTTGTAAGGCGCGCAAAGCGTTTGCGACGTCGTCTCCGCGATGTCGTCTAGTACATTCTTGTTGGCACTCAGCCACTCATCCACATTGAGGTTGGCCCATCTTTCATCTCTTATAACTCTCCGCGCGCATGCGCAGCGAGGGTTACAGTAGTCGTTCTGTCATTCTGTCTGTCCGCGCGAGTTATCGCACTACAGGCTACAAGGCGGACAATGAGTGGCACCAACGGGTTGTGAACAACGAGAAGATGAATATGAATGTGGCGATTTTCCTGAAACGACGGCGTTCCTGAGATATGGCGTGAAAAAAGCCTACGCGAGCGGTCCATCGCGCACGCGCGTATGTTGCCGTAGCTATCGCATGCGCATCTGCGAGATGCCACGTGGTTTTTTAGTTGACCTTGGACGAGCAAGCGGTTCTTGAGTTTCTCTCCTCTGTCAGTGTTGATCTCTGTTCTCGATGGACAAAAAACTGAGCAAGGTATGTCCGCAATGTAGCATAGCAGTTCACGTTAGACGAGCAGTTTGTGGATGCGACCATGCCTTCCCATCTAAGCGTAAAGCCCAGTCTGGCAATATATCCCAAGCAACGAAGCACAGTAGAATGCAAAAATCGAATGTGAGAGCCTTTGAGGTAGCTATACATAGTCACTATGGAGTAGTGCTATGTTTCTATGTATCACTTGACCAATTTTATCGGTATTACCATCCTTCCTATACAGGCTATCCATCAAATATCTCGTACATGACAGGATGAAGAACTCTCATTTCTACGTTGAAGGATCCCTCTGAGCTATATATTATCAAAGCACAGACACTCCATCCTGTCATGTTCAATGGCACAATAATGCTCCTCTCATAGCTGAACTGTGTTACTGCATGCTTGCAACAACATGTCATTTGGTTACTCTGATAAGCACTAATGAACTCATATATAGCAGATACCCTTCATCCAATTTGTTCATCTTATATTCAATTTTGTAATTACAGTGGAACCTCATTAATACGAACACTGTTAAGCGAAATAACTGTTTGATACGAACCACTTTGAAATAGCCCACCTAGAGCTTACAAAACCACAAAATGTGCGCATTTTGAGCCGAGGGCTTGCACTTTAGTGCTTTTCATTTAGGAGGAAAGGATACTACAGTTCAGCTAAACTAAGCGATAGGTCTAACCTGCGTGTCCCCCCAGACCCCGCCATCTTCCGATATTATTTGTTAAGCACATGATTGTCACTGCATGGGGCATCAACAAGGTGTCTATCTTCGACATCAACGGACAAATTGAATCACTTTGGTCGTATGGTAACGGTCCAGATCAGATGATATATATACTCGAATTAACTGCTACGGTCTTACCTACTGGATAGCTTCTTAGAGCCTCGATATCTTCCTCTGTGGTCAACCCTTATCCGAAGATGGGTTGGATTTGTAGGTATCGGGCAGGGGGTTGCACGTGTGTTTTCTTTTGGCCGTGGCAACTTAGCACCCGTGTGTGTCTAAACGTAAGCCCACAATGGGCTCTTTGCCCCTCTAATATGCAACCGATTGATATTTTAAGCACTGGCATGGGACAACCAGCCCGTCAAGGGGGCTGGCTTCCTACGTCCACCGAGCTGGAACAGCACGTCCCATGCCATCTCTCATCCCCCTTAGACCTTACCCCAATCACACTGCCATGGATTAGCAACCACAATTGTACATGTATTATACTAACTAGAGGATGAGGAAGAAAGAGTATGAGATACAGCGGCCAGCTGAGTGCGCGGTATCTTGATGTACAATTTATAGGCGTCGCTCTTCCATCTCCCAAATGTTTGGATGAGCGAGTCCTCCACGCCTCGCTGGGCAGCGGTAGTGGCTGCTCCAATCCCTAAAGCTATGCCCATTGAACGACTCCGGTTGGATCCCGGCCTGGGACAGTGCTTGTTAACCCTCGGCGCGCATGCGCAGCGAGGGTTACGGTTGTTGGTTTGTCTGTCTGTCTGTCTGTCTGTGTGTGTGTCGACTACCTGATCCGCTTGCTCTGTGTACCTTGGAGGCACAAGAAGCCACAGTGAAGGGCGTGTATCGACTGCCGCATGCTATCTACTACCGTAGCTAGCCCGTGTCAGATTCTCCGCGAGCTACTAGCGGGAGACCGCGGGTAAACGCCAATAGCCCTATTGGCGATACCGCTCATGCGCAGTTCGCCGAGGGTTTGCACTTCAGTGCTTTTCATTTAAACTCTTCGGTAAATAACACCGACAAAAAACATTGAAAGTGAAAGTTCAGTTCACGTGACTAAGTTGCCAGGAGTTACAAGTGAATATTTTGGCTAGCTTAGGAAGCAGCACTTCCTGCATAGCAGTGATGCAAGACAGGAACCAGAACCTGTCATATAGTAGAACTTGCAGAATCCAGCTGGGGAAGATACAGCGCAGACGGTTAGTAACTTATGACAAAAAAACGGGTTACTGTGACTGCTCTATGACTCATGACGCACCACAAATACGATTGTCTTATGTACAATCCGCTTCCTGAACAAGATATGGCTAGTAGCACACGTCATCTGTAGTTTACCTCAAAAACAGCGCCAGCGTCGGGCTACGACTGCTGTTCCCAGCCTCCCTGGGTCGCGGCTCCGTATACGCAACGAGGATGGAAGGTCAACAGTTCAACGTCTTACAAGAATGCGCTACCGCGCGTCACTTAGAATGCACCCCCTCCGTAATCCTCTCACGTGTGGCGATTATATTACGCCCTACGCATTGGGTCATGCTTAATTACACCGCTGCGTGAGAGCCGAATTCTGCTCGTGGACAGACTGAGGTGCGATGAGGTCTGAGCATGTATAGGTAGAGATAGTGCCGTAGACTATTGCTAGTATGTTTTAAGGCCTGAGGAGAGATGATTCTCACGAGTTTTTAGTCGTTATTTTGTCCGTGGATCACGTGAGATATCAAGCCGCGTCATCCGATATAGAGAGTCTACGACTCTCTAATGCCCAATATATTGTGGCCTTTTTACAACCACACCACATTTGGGCATTAAAAATTTTCCGTAATGGTGTCCTCTCTGTAGTTTCATCAGTATCAGGTGCTATTGAGGTGATGTCAGGAAGGGAAGGGACTTTCAGAGTGAGATGTACCTCTACTGGTGGGTGGACACGTAATATGACTGTTTCTGGACCACAATATTCTGGTGAAGAACAAGGCCATATGACAGTAGAACCAGTTGGGGTTCCAGAGAGAATAGGAAATGATACCTACACTGCCACTACCAGTACAATATCTGGAGGATGTGATGGAGATATATACCAGTGTAATGCATCTAATGGAGCTGCCGCTGATCAACTAAATTTTGTGGAACTGAGAGGTATTTTAAAATTACTGTTAGTGCAGCCTTGTTAGTTAATTAAAATATATTTCGACATTTGGTAGCTCTGAATTTCTTTAAGTTACTACTGACCAATATGATATATCAACAAAAAATACAGACTCTACATAATTGCTTTTCCTCCCTACAGTGGCCTCTGATCCATTCAATCTAACACTGACTCAGACATCAGCTACGTCAGTGATAGTGGAGTGGAGTCAGCCATCAGGAGGAGCCACAGTGACTGGATATGTAGTACACTACAGTCATGGAGTCAATCACATAATCAGACTGTAGCTGCATCCTCCACTAGTTCAAACATAACAAATCTCGACAGGAACACATCCTATCAATTCTCAGTGGAGGCTACTTCAGAACACCTTTCTGGAGAGTCTAATAACTGCATAATAACACTGTTTGGTAAAGTTTTTGTTGGGCTCTAGATATTATTGTTACCATTACACAAACACAGATCATCTTGATGGAATAAATGCTGTAGAATGTGACCCAGCCCCCTTTAGAGTCAAACTGTACTGCTGTCAAAGGTAAGGGTTAAAATGTGTGTGTATAGTCATGCATGTATTCTGAAAACCAACTATCCTTCAGGGTCAACTGCAGTGATTTCTTCTATTCAATCTACTAGTGTTTTGAGAGCTGCATACTGTGCCACCAGTAAGAAGAGAATCACTATTTCGCCTGCTTACTTTGTATATGTGGCTAATGCTCTAACTATGTGTCACTATAGAAAATATATTATGTTGGTCGCTTTCTATCAGAGTGATAATTATTTACCAAAACTCTTACTCCCTATTATGCTAATAATTATCTTCTTCTACAGTGGGCACTACAAGTGTTGCTATGACTAATGTCTCAGTGACTGCTTCTTCTTCTGTTGGCTTCATCATAACTTCACCAATGTCACTGCCATCCACAAGTAAGACTGCAATGTTACTCTATTTCAGGTCTTTCTAGTGACATCACCTGATATAATGACCTCCTTGGTGTCTTCCTTTGTTTCTACGTTCTCCTACTCATGCTAGGTTCCACAGCTAAGGTGACCACCATGGTGTCTTCCTCAGGACTTGATGCTACTAAAGTTACCCCCTCACCAACTGATTCACCTCCACCTGGTAGGATACATTCACTGGACACTACAGTGGAACCTCTCTACAGCGGGCCTCCGAAGAGCGGCCGGACTCTCTACAACGGCCATCACGCATGGAACGGAATGTCTTCCCATATACTTACCATTATTTAAAACCTCTAAAAGCGGCACCTCTCCACTCCGACCAACGGCCACGCAGCGCGTCCCCAAACGCACTTTCCTATTGATTTTTGCAACGGTCAAAACCACACCCATACAAAAATGCAGCAAGTGATTCCACGGCACGGCAGAGCGTGCGCACTAAGGCTCCACCCATCACCACGTGTAACGTCTAAGGCAAAATGGCTACCAACAACATGAAGAACTGAAGTGCAAACCCTCGGCGCATTGTGACGCACACCTGTAAGTAAACGCATGCGCCGTACAACTAATTTATGGGCTGGGTTTAGCTTTAGCTGTTACTCGTGGTCTCTTGCCAGCTCGCGCAGTCTGACGCGGTCAAACTACACTACTAGATGGCATGCGAGAGGTGATACACGCCCTGTGTTGCATCTTCTGGTGCCTCTGAGTATGTACAAAAAAACATCAAATCTGGGGTGTTTGACACAAAACCTCTGAACAAGGGCCAACCTCTCTACAAAGGCCAAAAGGCTTGTCCCCGAGGGTGGCCTTTGTTCGGAGGTTCCACTGTATCACATTCACTATCTTAGTCCTAGTACTGCTACGTACTGATCTCATGCTAGGTTTGTCATCTACGATGGCCATCGCTGTTGATAGTTCACGCGATGCAAGTGTGGAGCGCACTCTTGCCATTTTCACCACGATTGTCCAAATCGTTAAAAGGGAAGTCGTTCGTCACGATCGGGAGGAGAAAATATTCGCCTCAGCTTTTGGTATAAGTCAAGAAAGCACTGACTGCTGTGACCTGCTCCACTTGCTTGATCTCCTGCGTAATAGCCCAGACGATGGATACAGGGCATTGATTGATTTAGCAAAAAGTGAAGGAGTTGCAGACCGAATGGAACCATGGCTGGATGATATCAAAGAGAACTTATCTTCAGTTGATGCACGACTACTTTATGCAATTATGAAGCCAAATTCTTCTATGATACGTGAGTTGAGCCGACTAATTCCATCAAGAATTGCACAAGCAGGTTTAGATGCTTACGAAGGAGGGGCCAAGGTAATTGACTTTTTCGCAAAAATTGGCACATTTGGAGCGGTTGAACCTGATTTGGCTGCAAAGGCGCATAAAAATAGGAAAGAAACGGTAACTGACTCAGAAGCATATAAGCTCGCCCAAAAATATATTGCCGAGAATTTAAAGCGTCCGCTTGAACCCAAACAAATTCAATACGTTTCAGAGATGTTAGATGATGTATTTTCCGTTGGTCACGGTTACGATGATTCCGTACACGCGAGAATTCAGAAATTTATTGAGATAATAAAACCTTATATTTTTGGTTACACACCAATGTGCAAGGCATTGAAGGAGGCTTTTGCTGTTTTCAAAGAAAAAAGGGGATGCAAAGAAGTTTTGTTTATTGTTTCGGATGGATCATCAACAGATGGTGACCCACTCCCCACAGCCGAAAAGCTCCGTTCTATGGGTGTAATCACGGCAACATGTTATCTTACCTCTTCCCCTATACCCAATCCTAAAAAGTTGTATGACAAAACAGATTCCACTATAAGTCAATGCACTGATGGTAGAAATGTGTTATTTCAAATGAGCTCAGTTTTAGAGAACACCCAACCACCGATTACAAATCTTGTTGATGCGCAGTGGGAACTTTCACCCTCAGGCGAAAGTTGTTTGTTTTTTCAAGCTAATAGTTTGGATGTTGTTAATGAGTTCTGTGAAACTGTTATTGCGCAAATGACAATGAGTTGTGATGCTTTAGTTGATTTAGTCGGGAAGGTGGACCTTGCCACACTGAT